GGAGATACTGACATCCATGGAGGTGGCAGCTACGGGGTGGTGGCACCTACGGAGGTACTGACATCTATGGAGGTGGCACCTACGGGGTGGGGGCATCTATGGAGGTACTGACATCTATAGAGGTGGCACCTACAGGGTGGGGGCATCTATGGAGGTACTGACATCTGTGGAGGTGGCACCTACGGGGTGGTGGCACCTATGGAGGTACTGACACCTATGGAGGTGGCACCTACGGGGTGGGGGCACCTATGGAGATACTGACATCCATGGAGGTGGCACCTACGGGGTGGCAGCACCTATGGAGGTACTGACATCTATGGACGTGGGGGCACCTACTGGATAGTGGCACCTATGGAGGTACTGACATCCGTGGAGGTGGCACCTACGGGGTGGTGGCACCTATGGAGATACTGACACCTATGGAGGTGGTACCTATGGAAATACTGACATCCATGGAGGTGGCACCTACGGGGTGGTGGCACCTATGGAGATACTGACATCTATGGAGGTGGCACCTATGGGGTGGTGGCACCTATGGAGGTACTGACATCTATGGAGATGGCACCTATGGAGGTGGTGGCGCCTATGGAGGTACTGACATCTATGGAGGTGGTGGCGCCTACGGGGTGGTGGCACCTATGGATGTACTGACATCTGTGGAGGTGGCACCTATGGAGGTACTGACATCTATAGAAGTGGTGGCACCTACAGGGTGGTAGCATCTATGGACATGGTAGCACCTACAGGGTGGTGGCACCTATGGAGGTACTGACATCTATAGAAGTGGTGGCACCTACAGGGTGGTGGCATCTATGGACACGGTAGCACCTACAGGGTGGTGGCACCTATGGAGGTACTGACATCTATGGAGGTGGCACCTATGAGATGGTGGCATCTATGGAGTGGTGGCACATATGAACATGGTGGCATTCATGGAAGTGGCACCTACAGCGTGCTGGCACCTATGGACATGGTGGCACCTACAGGGTGGTGGCACCTATGGACATGGTGGCATTCATGGAGGTAGCACCTACAGGGTGGTGGCACCTATGGATGTGGTGGCAGCTACGGGGTGGTGGCACCTATGGATTACTAACACCTATGGAGATGTCGGCTACGGGGGGGGGTGGCATCTATGGAACTACTGACACCTATGAAGGTGGCACCTACGGAGGTACTGATATATCTATGGAGATGGTACCTACGGGGTGGTGGCACTTATGGAGGTACTGACATCTATGGAGTTGGCACCTACGGGGTGGTGGCACCTACGGAGGTACTGATATATCTATGGAGATGGCACCTATGGGGTGGTGGCACTTATGGAGGTACTGACATCTATGGAATTGGCACCTACGGGGTGGTGGCACCTACGGAGATACTGATATCTACAGAGGTGGCACCTACATGGTGGTGGTACCTATGGAGGTACTGACATCTGTGGAGGTGGCACCTATGGGGTGGTGGCATTCATGGAGGTAGCACCTACAGGGTGCTGGCATCTATGGACATGGTGGCACCTACGGGGTGGTGGCATCTATGGGGACATCGTAACTACGGAGGTGGTGTCACCTATGGACATAGTGGCACCCATGAACATGGCATCTATGGGGCGATGGCATTTACGGACATGGCACCATCTAGGGGGTGGTGGCATCTACGGGGTGATGGCATCCATGGAGGTGTCACCTATGGAGTTGGCATCCATGGAGGTGTCACCTATGGGGTGGTGGCATCCATGGAGGTGGCACCTACGGGGTGGTGGCATCCATGGGATGATGGCATCCATGGAGGTGGCACCATCTACGGGGTGGTGGCATCCATGGAGGCGTCACCTATGGAGTTGGCATCCATGGAGGTGTCACCTATGGGGTGGTGGCATCTATGGAGATGGCACCTATGGGGTGGTGGCACCTACAGGGGGGCACCTACAGGGTGGTGGCATCTATGGAGATGGCACATATGGCGTGGTGGCACCTACAGAGCTGGCACCCACAGGGTGGTAGCATCTATAGGGGTAAAACCTGTGGGGTGGTGGTACCTGGGGTGGTGGCACCTATAGAGGTGGCACCTACAGGGTGGTGGCACCAGGACAAGTTACTGGGAAGGGGACACTGGGGGTGGTGGCACTGGAGGTGGCACGAGGACATTTGGGGTGGTGACACCTGGGGGGGTACTGGGAGGGGGACATTTTGGGTGGTGGCATCTATGGGTGGCACTGGGGACACCTGGGGGTGGTGGCATTGGGGTGGTGGCTCCCCAAGTTCCTGAGTGTCCCCAAGCGTCCCCAAATGTTCCCAAGGTGTCCCCATGATGGTGACATCATCGCCAAGCCCTCAACCGGGTTGGTTGTGCCACCACGGTCCCCCATGATGTCCCCAACCCAGCACCAACCTCACGTCCCTGAGAGTCCCCAAGTGTCCCCAGATGTCCCCAAGTGTCCCCAGATGTCCCCCACCACGGTGGCACCGTCTCCAGCGCGTCCCCGTGATGGTGCCACCATCCCCAACCACGGCGGTTGTGCCACCACGGTCCCCATGATGTCCCCAATCCATCAGCACCTCCCCATCACTGAGCGTCCCCGAGTGTCCCCAACTGTCCCCAAGTGTCCCAGGTGTCCCCAACGCGTCCCCACCTCGTCCTTGAGCTGCGCGAGGAAGAGGGGCAGCAGATGCTCCACCGTGTTGTCCTTCCCCAGGATGGGGGACAACCCCATGATGACGGAGGCCAGCGCCGACTTCACGTGTTGGTTGGCGTCCGACACCAGTTCCTGGGGACAGCGTGGGGACACCGTGAGGTGGGGACATCCGTGCAGGGGTGGGGGCTGCGCTGTGGGGTGGCTTTAAGGTGCTCCTGAGGTGTCCTCAGGATGTCCCACCGCCCTAGAAGGTCCCCAGGGGTGTCCCCAAGGTGTCCCCATGATGTCCCGTCACCTCAGGAGGTCCCCAGGGTTGTCCCCAGGGTGTCCCCATGATGTCCCACCACCCCAGGTCTCCAGAGACGGCCTCAGGGTGTCCCCATGATGTCCCACCACCCCAGGAAGTCCCTAGAGGTGTCCCCATCATGTTCCTCCACCCCAGGAGCGTCCCCAGGGTGTCCCCACGATGTGCCACCACCTCAGGAGGTCCCCAGAGGTGTCCCCATCATGTTCCTCCACCCTAGAATGGCCCTAGGATTGTCCCCAGGGTGTCCCCATGACGTCCCACCACCCCAGAAGGTCTCCAGAGATGCCCCCAGGGTGTCCCCATGACATACCACCACCCCAGAAGGTCTCCAGGGATGGCCCCAGGGTGTCCCCATGACATCCCACCACCCCAGAAGGTCTCCAGAGGTGGCCCCAAGGCGTCCCCATGATGTCCCACCACCCCACAAGGTCTCCAGAGGTGGCCCCAGGGTGTCCCCATGACATCCCACCACCCCAGAAGGTCTCCAGGGATGGCCCCAGGGTGTCCCCATGATGTCCCACCACCCCGGAAGGTCTCCAGAGGTGGCCCCAGGGTGTCCCCATGATGTCCCACCACCCCAGGACATCCCCAGGGTGTCCCCATGGGGTCCCTGGGGTGTCCCCATGACGTTGCACCACTCAAAAGTGTCCCCACCTTGATACAAACCAAGACGTAACCCATGGTGCCAACATCACCTTGTCCCCATGACGTCCCCCCATCCCACCCCACGCAGTTCCCCCACCCCAGGGTGTCCCCGTGGTGTCCCCACGATGTCCCCCCACCCCAGGGTGTCCCCACGATGTCCCTTACCTTGATGCAGGGCAGGATCTGGCCCATGATGACGGCCTCCCGGCAGTCTGGGGACAAGTTCTCGCAGAACTCTGGAGAAGGAAGAGGGAAAAGAGTGACATCGGTTGGGGATGTGGGGACACCGTGAGTGGCCTTGGGGACATGGGGGACTCCAGGAACCATCCTTGGGGACCTGGTCACCATCCCTGAGGACACGGGGGACTCCAGGAACCACCTTTGAGGACATAGGGACCATGCCTGGGGACATGAGGGACTCCAGGGACCATCCCTGGGGACACAGGAACCATCCCTGGGGACGATCTCTAGGGACACAGGGCACTCCAGGGACCATCCTTGGGGACACGGGAACCATCCTTAGGGACATGGGGGACTCCAGGAACCATCCTTGGGGACATGAGGACAACCCTTGGGGACTTGGGGACCATCCCTGGGGACACGGGGACCACCCCTGGGGACACGGGGACCACCCCTGGGGACACGGGGAACTCAGAACTGTCCTTGGGGACCTGGTGACCACCCCTGGGAACACGGGGTCCTGGGGACCACCCTTGGGGACACGGGGACCTCAGGACCGTCCTTGGGGACCACCGTGGGGACATGGGGACCGTCCTTGGGGACCTGGTGACCATCCCCGGGGGACACGGGGGACTCCAGGGACCATCCCTGGGGACACGGGGACCTGGCAACCATCCCTGGGGACATGGGGGACTCCAGGGACCATCCTCGGGGACCTGGGGACCACCCCTGGGGACACGGGGACATGGGGACCGTCCTTGGGGACCTGGTGACCATCCCTGGGGACATGGGGGACTCCAGGGACCATCCTCGGGGACCTGGGGACCACCCCTGGGGACACGGGGACATGGGGACCGTCCTTGGGGACCTGGTGACCATCCCTGGGGACATGGGGGACTCCAGGGACCATCCTCGGGGACCTGGGGACCACCCCTGGGGACACGGGGACATGGGGACCGTCCTTGGGGACCTGGTGACCATCCCTGGGGACATGGGGGACTCCAGGGACCATCCTCGGGGACCTGGGGACCACCCCTGGGGACACGGGGACATGGGGACCGTCCTTGGGGACCTGGTGACCATCCCTGGGGACATGGGGGACTCCAGGGACCATCCTCGGGGACCTGGGGACCACCCCTGGGGACACGGGGACATGGGGACCGTCCTTGGGGACCTGGTGACCACCCCTGGGGACACGGGGGACTCCAGGGACCATCCCTGGGAACATGGAGACCTGGGGACCGTCCTTAGGGACCATCCTTGGGGACACGGGGACCTGAGGACCGTCCTTGGGGACCTGGTGACCATCCCTAGGGACATGGGGAACTGGAGACCACCCTTGGGGACCATCTTGGGGACACGGGGACCTGGGGACCATCCTTGGGGACCTGGTGACCATCCCTGGGGACATGGGGGACTCCAGGGACCATCCCTGGGGACACGGAGAACACCCTTGGGGACACGGGGACCTCAGGACCGTCCTTGGGGACCTGGTGACCATCCCTGGGGACATGGGGGACTCCAGGGACCATCCCTGGGGACACTGAGACCTAAGGACCATCCTTGGGGACCTGGTGACCATCCCCGGGGGACATGGGGGGCTCCAGGAACCATCCTTGGGGACACAGGGACCTGAGGACCATCCCGGGGGACATGGGGGGCTCCAGGGACCACCCCTGGGGACACGGAGACCTGGGGACCACCCCTGGGGACCATCCTTGGGGACACAGGGACCTGGGGACCATCCTTGCGGACCTGGTGACCATCCCCAGGGGACATGGGGGGCTTCAGGGACCACCCCTGGGGACACGGGGACCTGGAGACCATCCTTGGGGACCTGGTGACCATCCCGGAGGACATGGGGGGCTCCAGGGACCACCCCTGGGGACACGGGGACCTGGAGACCATCCTTGGGGACCTGGTGACCATCCCGGAGGACATGGGGGGCTCCAGGGACCACCCCTGGGGACACGGGGACCTGGAGACCATCCTTGGGGACCTGGTGACCATCCCGGAGGACATGGGGGGCTCCAGGGACCACCCCTGGGGACACGGGGACCTGGAGACCATCCTTGGGGACCTGGTGACCATCCCGGAGGACATGGGGGGCTCCAGGGACCATCCCTGGGGACACTGAGACCTAGGGACCATCCTTGGGGACACTGAGACCTAGGGACCATCCTTGGGGACCTGGTGACCATCCCGGACCCCAGGGGACATGGGGGGCTCCAGGGACCATCCCTGGGGACACGGGGACCTGGGGACCACCCCTGGGGACATGGAGACCATCCCCGGGGGACATGGGGAGCTCCAGGGACCACCCCTGGGGACACGGGGACCTGGGGACCATCCTTGGGGACCTGGTGACCACCCCTGGGGACCTGGTGACCTCCAGGATCCCTCCTTGGGCCCCATCTCCATGGCCGTGGTGACCCAGTGCCCATCTCCAAGGACACGAGGATCTTCCTCCTCCGTGGGGACACGGGGGGGGGGACACGACACCCAGGCATCCGGAAGGGCGTGGCATCAGCTGACCTTTGACCTTGTGGGAGGCGGCCGCCCGTACTTCAGCCTCGCAGTCCTTCATCAGGCTCTGGAAGGCCCCGACCAGGTCGGTCTTGGTGATCTCGGGGCCAACGGCTCGTTGGAGCTGGCAGGGGGCAAAGGCCAGAGGTCAAACATCTCCAAAAAGGTCCCCGCGTTGTCCCCCAAATGTCCCCAAGGGCGTCCCAAATTGTCCCCCAAAAATATCCATCCAAAATGTCCCCAAGTGTCCCAAAAAATCCCCCCAAACATCTCCAAAAATTCCCACAGCTGTCCCCAAACGTCCCCAGGGCGGGCCTCAAGTGTCCCAAACGTCGCCGGGGGGTCCCCAAATTGTCCCCAAGGGTAAATGTCCCCAAGTGTCCCAAAAAATCCCCCCAAACATCTCCAAAAATTCCCACAGCTGTCCCCAAACGTCCCCAGGGCGGGCCTCAAGTGTCCCAAACGTCGCCGGGGGGTCCCCAAATTGTCCCCAAGGGTGTCCCAAATTGTCCCCCAAAAATATCCCTCCAAAATGTCCCCAAGTGTCCCCAAACGTCCCAAAAAATCCCCCCAAACATCTCCAAAAATTCCCACGGCTGTCCCCAAACATCCCCAGGGCGGGCCTCAAGTGTCCCAAACGTCGCCGGGGGGGCGCCACACTGT